ACTTTAAAAATAAACATTTATTTTTCATAATAAATGTGATATTTATGTTAACATGTAATGGGTTTATTACTGCCATATGAAAATTAATAAAGAGATTAAATAATTTGAGATCCATTGCTCTAACTTTTCCTGACTAATAGAAAAATAATTTTTGGGCCGGGGATTTAGCTCAGTGGTTCTACCACCTGCCTCGCAAGCACAAGGACCCAAATTCAATCCCTGGTACCAAAAAAAAGAAAAATAATTTTTAGTTCAACTAAATGTTCTTTTATTTGGTAATTTATGTATTAATTCAACAACTATTCACTGACCACCCACTACCTTATGCCAATTATTCCTCGACCATGGGTTTTCAGCAATGAATAAAAGATAAAATCATCCACTCTCATATAATTTACATTCTAGCATGTAAGAAGGAACAAAATATAAACTAAATATGCAGCCAGACATGGTACTGCATGTCTGTTATCCCAGCACTCTGGGAGGCTAAGGCAGGAAGATCACAAATTCAAGCTCAGCCTGGGCTATACAGGGGCTTAGTGAGACCCTGTCCAAAAAATAAAAGAGATGGGGAGACCCTGATTTTAATTCCCAGTACTACACACACACACACACACACACACACACACACACACACACACACGGAACCATGTTAGATGGCATTAAATCTGTAGATAAAAATATAAGAGAAAAAGGGAACAGAGACTTCTTGGGGTAAGTACTTTCAATTTTATTTTTTTAATTAAGAAAATTTAAATTTAAAAACTTTTATTTTTGGAGTGCTGGGGGTTGAATCCAGGGCTGCACATATGCTAGGCAAATGATTTATAGACATCTCCAACCCAGGAATTTTAAATAGAGTAGTCAAAGAAAGCCTCACTAAGGTGATAGTTGATCAAAGACCTCAGCAAAGTGAAACAGGGAGCCTACAGGTTCGAAGGCCTGGAAAAGGAGTAGGTCTGGAGTGTGCTTGAAGAATATCTGGGAGGCCAGTATGGCTGGATAAGTTTACTGTAATCAGGATTAAGGATAGTTTATTACAAATGTTAGCAATATATTTTATATAATTTTTCAATAATCTGCTGGTTCTAGATTTGTACCCTGTGACTGGTAACCCTGACATATCAGCTTCACTGAATGAAGAAATGTCTAGCAGATTGTAGAACACAGTTTCAGGTGGATCCAGATGGGTCATGGAGGTGTGACCCTGAGGTCTATATCTGGTCCCTTGTCAATTCCTCTCTGCACTATTGCCCTACTTTGCTTCCTGGCTACCATGAACGAAGCAGCTTCTCTCCACCAATCTATCTGCCATGATGTTCCTGCTTTGGAGCCAGCTGACTATGGACTGAATTCTCCCAAACCATAGGCTAAATTAGGCCTCTCCTTTAAGTTGTGAGTGTTGAGTAATGTGTCCAGCAATGAGAAAACTGTCTAATACAGATCCTATTTCTGTGATATAAATAAGTGTTATTTTATTGGAGAATTTTGATGGACAGGATCTACAGAAAATGGCTACTTAATTTTTGCTCATGTTATCTCAGACAATAGACACTATCACGAGAATTTGTGGTTCAGTTTTGTGGGGCAGGTAACAGCAGATCAGATATTGAGAAACATTAATATCTTTTGTATATGGATATTACAACTGGGAGAAGATTCATTCATTCATTCACTAATTCACTCTTTGCAAGTCCCTGTATCAGGCTCTTGAGACATCTGTGAACAAAACAGACAAAGATCCCTGCCCTTGGGAAGCTGTTTATTAAGTAGGAGGAGTTAGAAACAGTAAATATCATAGATTAGTAAATTGTATGTTATATAAACAGTAAATATCTGTCAGTGTGACTAGGAGTATACCCAGGAGGGGAAGAAATTAGTGTTGAACAGCTAGCCTTGTCTGTCTCATTTTCTTATGAAAAAAACAGAGGCATTTTGTTAGTAGGGGAAGGGGCGCTGTGTTCTTCCAGCTCTAGGGGATGCGGCCTTGTCCTCTGTGGTCCTGAGACACTGAGAGGTGCTGATGAAGGCATCTCATGCTCTCAGGAGCAGCAGGCACCTGCAGTTGGCCCATATAAGAGGCTTATGATTTTGTCCTTTGAAAAAACTAGTATCCAAACTATTGGTCATAATTTTAAAAAATCTTATCCAAATATTAAAGCTTTTCAATTATGTTTTTTCTTATTTTTCTCATTCTTTCTTTCAATTATAACATTCTTTATTTTTTGCCTATAACTATTTAAAATTTTAATTACTATCCTATTATCCTTTTACTCTAATCTATATTGTCATATCAAACAGTACTCAGTGTGATCAAAATATATGGTGAATACAGTGGACCCTTGATTTATGAACTCAGTTTGCTCTCAAGGGCTGGTTGTAACTCAAGTTGGTCAAGTGAAGTCTCAGAGTCCTTTACACAGCCTTCAAAGTCTCTCTCATGTACACAGGAAGATCTCAGTGTCCTTAGAGAGACATTGACCCAGGATTCCTCAGTTCCACACAGGAAAAGATGTTGTGATATGCCTTCCAGAACTCTAAGGGTTAAATCTGTATCTGAGACCATCTTGAAAGCACAAGTGGCCAGAATTCAGGTTATAACTCAAGACTTTGGTAATAGGTTAAAACTAGAATTCCGGTCATAACCCAAATTGTTTCTATGTCAGGCCAGTCGTAACTCAAGGATCCACTATATTTAAATTAAAATTTTTATTACTGTAAAAGACACAGTGCCATTAATTCCCCTCAAAATACCCATTCTTTGCTTTGAATATACTTATGCCATTGTTCAAAGCAGTTCTAGAAGTCCTCTTTCATTAGTGTCTTTATGAGGTGTGATAAAAAATACAATGAGTGCTGGTGCCAAGTGCCATCCAAGGGAAGAACAGATCATAAAAACAATATGGCCAGGGCTGGGGATTTAGCTCAGTGGTGTCACACTTGCCTGGCAAGCACAAGGCCCTGAGTTTGATTCCCAGTACTGGGAAAACCAAAAAACAATATGGTGTGTCCTCATCCACCTTATGCACCAGATCTGATATCATGCAACTTCTGGCTCTTCCCCAAAGACAAAATGACCATGAGAGGTAAATGTTTTGAATTGATTCAGGACATTGAGGCAGCTATGACAGCACAACTAAAGAGGTAAGTTTTTATTTTAGCCTCCCCCCTTTTTGATACTGGGGATTGAATCCAGATTATCATGTGTGCTAGGCAAATGCTCTACCACTGAGCTATATCCTTAATCCTAGACTTTTTTTAAAAAAAGAGAACTAAACTTTAAATAAACCTCAGGATTTTTTTTTATGTGTGTGTGAACTATGTAGTTCAGGCTAGTGTTGAACTCACTATGTAGTGTGGGCTGGCCTAGAACTCATGGTGATTCTCCTGCTTCAGCCTCCTGAGTGCTGGGATTACAGGTGTATGCTACCACACCTGGCAGGATTTTAACTTTAGAAAAGAGTGTTTTGTAAGTAGCCCCCATGCCATTTTCTAGGCCTAATGCTATGTAAATACATTTTCTTTCATTTTATGAGTTTTTCCTAATTTGTAGTTTGATAATTCACAAGTTCTGTTTCTCCTTGAGTATATGATTTTCAGAATGATTTTCAATATTAAGGACATCTCAATTGTGTTTTACTTTTAGTGGTTAAAATCTATCTCGGAGTAAGTTAACAGTGCAACAACCTCTCTCTCTCTCTCTTTTTTTTTTTGGTACCAGGGATTGAACTCAGGACCTTGCGCTTGCGAGGCAGGCAGCAGCACCACTGAGCTAAATCCCTGGCTCTGGAACAACCTCTTAACATATTTTCTCTCTTCCTTTTTCCTTCCCTCCCTTTCTGTTTTCTGGCCAAGAATACAATTGTCATACAACGATCCTTAAAACAGAATGATTTTTCTTCCTCTTCTTTGCAGGGGGAAAAAAACGAGCAAAGAAACAAGACCAAACTAAGCACATACCAATTAAGTTATTGAAATTGAGCATATTTAAGCTTTATTTTCATCTTTTCAAGCATAACATCCTGGTCACAATTACTATTAAACTATAAAACTCTTTGTTAGAGAAAAATGAAAGGGGAAGGAAAAGAGAAGAATCATCAGATTTTTTCATAAAACAATTGTTTACTTAAGTTGTGTATGGAAGCTTAAATTACAGCTTGTGAGAATTTGTTTTAATTTTTTATAGGAGCTGAATTCATGTAAACTAAAAGTTCTTATAATCAAGGAGGTGGACATGAAGTGAGATGTCCTCTTTTTCCCAGCGGTTTTGTTCCCTACTTTGATGGATCACCTTTGACAGCACCACCAATGATTTTGGGATTGTCTCTTGGCACTTTTGACCTAAATTTTATCTATTAGTGAAACTGTTTCCTTCCCCTTCTCTTTCCCTTTCCCTTCCCCTTTCCCATTCTCTCTCTCTTTCTTTCTCTCTTCCTCCCTTTATTTCTTTTTCTTTTTTTTTTTTTGGTACCGGGGATCAAAATCAGGACCTTGAGCTTGCAAGGCAGGCATGGCCCCAGCCCTCCCTCCCTTCATTTCTTTCTCTCTCTCCTTCCTTCTTTTGTGCAGTACTGGGAAATTGAACCCAGGGCCTTACCATTGAACTCAGTCCATTTTTTATTGTTTTGAGACTGGGTCTCACTAAGTTGCTCAGGCTGGACTCAAATGTGTGGTCCTCCTGCCTCAGCCTCCCAGAGTGCTGGGATTACAGACATGTGCCACCATGCCTAGTCATCCTTTTATATTTATATTCTTAAACATTTTTGATTAGCATGTAATAATTATAGATCTTTATGGGGTTCAATGTGATATGTCAACACATATATACACTGTGTACTGATCCAATCAAGATAATTAGCATTTCTATCTCCTTATCATTATTTTACATTTGAAGTTTCCTCCCTCTCTCTGCCCCCGACATCTTTGTGAGACAGAGTCTCACTATGTAATTCATGCTGGCCTTGAACTCACTGTAGAGCCCAGGCTGGCCTTGACCTCATGGTGATCCTCCTGCTTCAGCCTCCTGAATGCTGGGACTACAGGCATGCACCATCATGCCTGGCCTCACCCCTCTTCTCTTCTAGTTCTTAATAAAATATAGAATAGGTTATTGTGAACTCTAGTCATCCCATTGTGCTGGACACCAGATCTTACTCCTTCTATCCGTGTTTTGGTACCTGTTATCCAATCTCCCTGATCTCCTCCTCAGCTTCTAGTAATCATTCTACATTCAGGTCCATGTATTTTAGCTTTCACATATGAGAGAGAACATGCCGTATTTGTTTTACTGTGCCTGTCTTATTTCATTAAACATAATGTCTACTAGTTCCATCCATGTTGCTGCAAATGACAGGATTTCATTATTTTTATGGGTGAGTAATATTCCATTGTGTGTTTATACCACATTTTCTTTATCCATTTGTCCACTGATGCACTCCTAGGTTGGATCTCTGTTGAGTCTTAATTTTCTGAAATAGCACAATGAATGAATAAACCACTAAACATTTTGGGGCCATTTGTGTCCACTTTGCCCTGTGGGACCTAAGCTTTTCCTTACAGAGAGTGAGGGAATGAGTAGAAATTTGGAAAATATTTAGCCAGTTTAAGTTATGATATGATTTATAATTATCATGCTTGTGTTTGAATATGACTTTACTTTCCCATAATGTGTTTACTGTAGAAAGAGAAGAAAGCAGAAGAATTAGAACTAACTAATAGCATTATTTATAATCCCGTCTTTGTATATCCATTTAGGGTCTCTTGCTATTAGAAATGGTTTTATGATGGTAAAGAAATCTGAGGAAGCCAGGCACAGTGGTGCACACCTATAATCCCAGCACTTGGGAGGGGAAGCAGGAGAATCCTAAATTTGAGTCTCACCTGGGCAACTTAGTTTCAAAATAAAAGGAGTTGAAGATGTAGCTCAAGAGGTTATTGTCTGATGACCTGGCTGTGAGTGTAAGGATGTGCCTAAAAGTGGGGAGAGAGCACAATGGCCTCATAAAAAGGAAGGAACTGGAGGGAGAGGAGGCCTTTGACAGGCAGGATAGAAGAGCAGAGTGACCAGAGACCCAGCCTGACAGCTACGACTGCCGAAGGGTCTGGGCTGAAAAGGAACTTGAGGGAAAAGTAGGAATGTCAGAGGCAATCGTCGTGCTTCTGCTGTCAGGCAGTGGTGCAGATCTTCCATGGCTGCCCATGAGGTATTCAGCAGAACTTGTCTCATGGATGTTCTCCCCTCCGTGCATTTCTGCCAGTCTACATGTACCTTTGGATTAGCTCTTGGAGGACTCACACTGGCGGATGCCCTGTGAGGGGGACACAAACTTCAAACTTGTTATGAGGTGCATGACTGATGTCGAAGACAGGTGCCTGGGAATAGGTTACAAATTGAAGGAGGAGGCGGCCTTGGCTGCTTCTCAAGCTATTCCTTCCCATCATCGAGGGTGATAGCTGTGGCTATGGTGGACTCTCGCTGTGGCTTTGTGTGGTTTTTCTGTGCAAGGACTTAGATTTATCTACATGTTGTGGCATGATAGGCATTGGCAGGAAGTCGGATTCGACACAGCATTGTCTGTACCTGTCATACAGAAGTGTCAGCCACTCGTTCCAGCTGCATATCAGACTGCACTCTCCCAGGTCGTTCTGTGCAAGTCTTGTTCCACCCCGGTCAGCTGCAGTGGAGAGGAAAGGACAGGGAAGTCCAGGTTAGAAGCAGTGCCAGGGCTGGATGGGAAGGAGAGTTTGGTTTTGTATTCCCAGATGTGTGCTTAGGATACCAGGCAAATAAAACACTATGCAGTAATTAAAAATGATGACAAAATAGAAAAATTCATTCCAGACTTGACCAAGACAGTGAAGAGGGGACCATCTCTCGTAATGGATGACCTCCAGGAGGCCTCTGGGCTCTTGTTACTTGCTGACATCTGCATCCTTGAAGCTAGTTTAGCCTCTATGTCAGTATATTTGATATCACAGAACAGATATGTGGGTGCAAACAGGGGTGGGAGCCAGGTCCTCCTTATTGGGGAACTAGGGCTATTCCTACACAACCTGCAGACTCCCTTTTTATGGTGTCTCTGCCTCACTTGTTATCAGGGAATGCAAACCCCTGGAATGAGGGGAGTCAAATCATTTGCCAAAAGGATTAAGGGGAAAATAATGGCTGGGCTCTTCTGAGCCCCCTCCTCCACCTTTGATTCTCTGTCTGTCTTTCTGTCTGTCTCCATTCTCTCTTCACCCCAGGGTTGGGGCCAAGCACCTTGCTTGCCATCCTGGATAAACCTGTTCTCTAAGCATTCCTCTTCCGTTGTCCTATCTGCCAGCCCTCTGAGGGGCCTGGAGATGGGACTCAAGGTCTCTGAGCTCTAATCCAGGGCTGATCTCAAAAGATTCGAATGGTAAAGGGAGAAGCTTGAAGAAATGTCTTAGGAGCTTAGCTATTGGGAGCTCATCTACAGTGAAAGAAAGACAGTTTATCAGGTTGAGACTCTGGTTTTAGAACAGGAAACAAGTTTTCAGGCCAGATTCTAGAAGATGGGAGCTGGGTGTGGGTAGTGAATGTTAGGGGATCCCTACCTTAGATTGGAACTCAGCGGGGTGAGCCCTGCCTCCTTCCAACCTGGCTTGCTTGTCACTAGAGCAGCCAGATCTGCTAGTGTTCCTGTCCTTCCTTTACCCTTCTCCACCCAGTTTACCTGAGGCCAGCTCGGCTAGGAATCTGAGGGCTGCAAAGACCAGGAGCAGAGACTTCATGGCTGAATGGATGGCCTGGGAGTAGGTGGCAGTTAAATGGCATCAGGGCCCACTGTGTAATGTGCCTTGAGCTACTACCTTTATAAGATACACATGATGCCTCGGTACTGGGCAGTGGACCAAGAGAGGTCTCCATCACCTGGGGCAGTCAGATCAGATCAGAACATCTACTGGGCAGAGCCTGGATTGATTTATGGAGTAGTCATGTTCTAGGCTGCCTGGAGGGGAGAGGCAGAGCAGAGGGCCTCAGTTCCCAGTGCCCTTCCTTGACTCTAGGCTTTCAAAATGGTGTTGGTCAGGGCGTGGGAAAGTAGTGCTCTCCTGTGTTTGGGCTATGAGGCTTAATTGCTACACACAGCTTTTCTTTTGTAGCGCTATTTGGCAGTGTGTGTCAGAAGCCTTAAGAAGTGCTTTCCTTTTGATTCAGAAACTGTTTCTTGGCCTGTTGTCTAAGGGAAATAATTGGGGAGGCTCCTAAAGGGATTTAGCATTATTTACAATAGCAGAAAATCAAAACCAGGCCAAATGATGGCAAAAACATAGATATAACCAAATAGAGAAAATGTAGGCTATGAGAAGACATTATGCAGTCATTAAAATGATGTTAAAACAAAAATGTAGGCTGGGTGTGGCAGCACATGCCTATAATCCCAGCACTTGGGAGGCTGAGGCAGCAGGATTGCTGCAAGCTCCAGGCCAGCCTGGGCTATATAGTGAGTTCAAGGCCAGCCTGAACTACATAGCAAGACCCTGTCTCAAAAAAACCAAACAAAACCAAAACCAAAACCCAAAAATATAGGCTACAACATATATACCTATTATGATTTAATCTTTAAAAAGTCATGTTTATGTGCTTACATATGTATGTTTATGTCTGTCTATATAAAATACTTGAGTTTTTTTTTTTTTAAGATTATGTGTACTTTCACGATTAGAAAAAGAAGATATTTCTATAGAAAACGTCTTGTTTGAATTTTAGTATCGCCGGGGATATAGCTCAGTGGTCTTGTCACCTGCCTCGCTAGCGCAAGGACCAGAGTTTGATCCCTGGTACCAAAAAAAAAAAGAATTTAAATATCACCCCCAATATTTGCTTTCTTCCCTTATTGTTTAGGGTTTCTGGCAGATAGTTTGCCTACCTCTCAAGAGACATTTTGTATCTTCCCCCACCCCCCAGGTGGCTGTGGCACCTGATTCCCTCTGGGCTCTCCTTTCCCTGGGTCCTCCACCCTACGTGGTGCCTGCTGCCATGAAAGGCAGCAGGCTGGGAGTCCTGCCCTGCCAGCTGAGAACAGCAGCTCTAGCATCTCCCTTTTCTTGGCTCCAAGCACCCTGGACTGGGTAAGAATGTGTTCCAAGACTTTAGGGTTTGCTCAGATGTGTAAATGTCTCTTAGATTCTGTAATGTCTTCCATTAGACATTATAAATTATAATCTTACAATTCGTGCAATTCCCATGATCCCCTGGGTAACCCTATAACCACAGAACCAAAAGTTCTGTTTCTGGGCATGATTTTCCACAAGTTTGCTGTCCTCTTATCCCTTAACTGTGAAGCATCAATGGCAGTTTGGTTTTCCTTGTTCCCATTTAGTGTGAATCTCAACATTAATTTAAGCAAGCCCAATTTTTCCAACCCACTGAAAAAAATCTTTTCATTTGAAATAATTTAAAACTACAATAAGTTGCAAAGTACACATTGTACAATACCCTTTTCCAAGCAGTATCAGTCAGCTTTCCTTTCACTGGACACAAGACCTGATACTCGAAACTTAAAGGAGGAGAGGTCTGTTTGGCTCAGGATTTCAGAGTTTTTGGCCCATGGTTGGCTGGTTCCAAGGCAGGAACATTGAGGCAGAAGAGCCTGGGGGAGCAAAGCTGCTTATTACACAACAGCAGGGAAGCAGAGCACAGGGGAAGAGCATGGCCAGAAGTACACAGCCAAGTGGGCCCCGCCTCCCAACAGCATGTTCAGCTTGAGTATCAGTGGGGAATGAGTGGAGCACTCAGATGATCCAATTGTCTTTCCAGTTAAGCCTCACTGTCACACTGGTGTTCCCAGGATTCACCTACTGTTAACATTTCAATTCTTTTGTTTTATTAATTGCTCTTCCTTCTCTCCCTCTCATATATTAACGTATCTATATTGATCTCTTTATCTATCTTTATAAGCTTTTCTCTGGACCAGCTAAGCATAAGTTATATTCACTGTGGCTTTTACCCCTAAATAATTCAGTATGGATCTCTTAAGATTTCCTATTACGAATAGGGATATCCCCTTACATAATGACAGTAGGCATTGTTACTGACATGTATGTAACATTTCGGGTGAAGCTTTAGCTTTATGACTGGGGTCTAGCGGGTTGGGCAGCTGGCTGGTTTCCCAATCTCCACCCCGCCCCCATCATTCTCTTCTTAGTATGGAGGATGCTGGGTTCCTCAAGGTTACTGAAGACAGGAAGAAGAGAGAAGGCAAAAGCCAGAGGCAAGAACTTCATGCCTGTGGATGGGACATGCCTGGGGAGAATGCAGTGGGGTGGATGAGGACAGAGCTACCTATGTCCCTTACCTGGAGCCCTAATCTTTATTGGGCTTCAAATGAGATCAAAAGTTGGGTAATGAGCCTTGGGTAAAGTACAAATCTCTGTCGTCAGGATGAATAGATTTGGACAGAATGTCTAAGTATCTAGTTGGCTACTGCAGAAAAGGGGCACTCACAGACTAGCTCTAGGATTGACTTCCAAAATACATTCTCTGGCAGTTGATGGCAAGAGTTAGGCAGAATTAATAATTATGTCCCATTCCTGTGAATTTAAATTGAGAGACTGTAGTTTGGAGAGGAATTGTCAATATATATTCTATGCTTGAAAGAAAATTAAACAAAAGGATGCTTTCTCTTTGACTCAGAAAATGTGTTATACCCATAGAATAAAAGATAAATTCATGAATGTGTAACTATTACATTTCCTTCTTAGCATTACTCATGAGATTATTGAAAAATTAATGCTTATCAAAAGAGAATCTGGTAGTCTGTGGTACATAACATTAGAATTACATACAGTTTTAAATGATGATAACCAAATTCTAAACTTATGACAGAAAAGGCTGCCAATAACACATTAAGTGAAAAAGGAAAATTATGAGAAAATTTGTGTAGCATGAGCTAGTTTTTGTTTTATATACATCTAAATTATATAGATTATGCAATTAATTAATTATATTAATTATATAATATATAATTAATATATTAATAATTATATAATATAATAATTAATATATTAATTATACATTATAATTAATTTATATACATCTAGATTATATAGATTATATATAATCTGGATGGATACAGAAAAATGTTTTATTTCTCATAGTTTTGTTCTGTCTGAATATTACAAAATGACTGTGTAACCTCATAATCAGAAAAAAATTACTTAAGGTATTTCCATGTAAGGAAAATATCTTTTTTGAAAGGCTTGAGGTAAATATATTCATTCATATAGAAGCATTTGCTTTCTTTTCTGACAAAAGATTGATTGAATGGCCAAATCTGATTCAGAGGACCCTAAACTAACGTTAAGCTTTAGCAATACAGGATATGAGGTCGTTCAAGGATGCAGGTAATTGTGAAGCTCAAGTAGAGCATGCAGTCTGGCACGACCATAGCACTTCCACGATTGTTCTTGCTTCAACAGGATAATCCATGGAGCAGGCTAACCCAGGGGATCTCCAAGTGATGTTTGAGTGAGTCATGTGAACATAGCACTCACACAGGGGGGATTTCAGGTAGAAACGTCTCTGTTTTATTTGCTGGTACTTGCACAGCATGATAAATCTATGAGATGTTTCAAGAGCTATGCCCTGTATCCATAGGTTCCAGGAAGAGTTGCCAGATACATTCTGTTAGACAAAGATTCTTTTCTTTTTTGGTACTGGGGATTGAATTTGGGCCTTGCACTTTCGAGGCAGGCGGCAGAACCACTGAGCTAAATCCCCAGCCCTAGGTAAAGATTCTTTGCTAAATGTTCTGTAAGGCACATTACCAACTTGCTTATTACCACAAAACCTGAAATAAAGTGATGTTGTACAAAGGGAAAAAAAAAAGATTCTTTTGGTAGTGAATGTCATTAATATGTTTGCCAGGAGGTCTGCTGTCAGCTTGTTTATAAGGACAACTGATGTGGTCAACTTTCTTTTATTTTCTTTTCTTCAAGGAAGCATCCTACTAAAAGGAGAAACTTTATTTCAGGATTGGGTGCTAACCCTTTCTTCTCATCTGTTAAAATGAACACACCAAGAGATATTGTCATTAAATTTATGGCTTGTAAAAATGTATATTTCTTAGTGGGGCTTTTTGGTACAGCACTTCCATTATCCTGGCTCTTGTTCCATGCTTGAATTCCATTTCTCCTAAGTTTCTTTTACAGTGTGGCAGCCAGAAAAAAAGACAATAACATAAGCATGAACTAAAGGGTTAAATAAATTTGGCCATTGTAGGAGCTACCAAATTCCTTTAGGATTAGATGTATTCGCCACCTCACCATAAATACAATATAATATCAAGCTCTCTATAGGTTCTTCCAAATCATTGCTGAAAGTACAACATGAGGTTATTCATGTAGGTCATTTATTACATAACTGGTACTGTCTATAAACAACAAAGCTGTGGCCCCTGGGAATCATAGTAATTAAGTATAGGGAGTTTGATGTTAGACAGATGTGGGCTCAAGGCCTGGTTGTAATACTTATATATGACCTTGAGCAATTTAAATTAAACCTAAATTATATTATAAAATGTACATAGGGTTGTTTTAAGGACTATGTGAGATAATATACTTGAAGTCCTCAATATTATACCTGGGTTCTCAAACATGCCCTGTAAAAATGCCCACACTCTTGACATGTGTAGTGGCATATGTCTTTAATCTCTGCACTCTGGGAAGCTGAGGCAGGAAGATTTCAAGTTTGAGCTCATCTTGGGCAACTTAGTGGCTTAGTGAGACCCTATTTCAAAAAACAAAACCCGAAACTGAGAGAGAGAGAG